CCTAGGCTACCAGAGTGGCCCGGGGTCACTTGCCCGGCCGGGCCAAAAAGATATAAAATTTAAAAAAAATAAAAATTATTTTAACATTTTATTTTATATTTTAAATTTGGTAAAGAATTTCGATGTGACCCTGAGGCAAAAGTTGTTCAGTTCATTTTTCTGCATAACATAGTTTTTTTTCGTTTTAAAAAAAAAAACGAAGTTTTTTTTCGTTTTAAAAAAAAAAACGATTTTCGTTTTTTTTAAAAAAACGAAAAAAAACTATGTTATGCAGAAAAATAAACTGAACAACTTTTGCCTCAGGGTCACATCGAAATTCTTCACCAACTTTAGAATAAAAAATAAAATTTAAAAACAATTCTTTTATTTTTAAATTTTTATTATTTTTATATTTTTTGGCGCGGCCGGGCAAGTGACCCCGGGCCACTCTGGTAGCCTAGTGAAAAAACTCTTAAAGGACGAATTTTGCATGAAAACACTTTTGTTTTGCCTTAGTAAACTTTTAGGCTCCTTTGGCCCTTTTTTTTTTGCCCCTTTTTCTTTTGCTGTTGGTTCATTTGTTGTCCACTCCTGGATTGGTGACAATATATATTGTCGCATAACTATGAACTAAAAGAGCACAATTTTTGCGAAACAAACGGCAAAAATTAAAAAAAAAAAAAAAAAAAAAAAACAGGAGAAACATGAAGGGCACAGTGAAACCATTCATTTTTCTCATTCTTTTGAATCCCCTTTCACCGTGCCTCTCACGTACAAGGCTCGCCATGTTGATGAAGTTGAGCGCGAGCTGCCCCCATCCCCATGTGCCATAACAGCCCACTTGTACGCTGTGAGAAAGAGGCAGAGTGAAGGGGGAGGGGATAAACACGGGGAGGAGAGATGGAGAGCAGACAAACAAAGAACGATAAAGGGAAAGTAAGGGAAAGTCTGGAGTGTGAAGTGAAGATGAAGGCAAAAGAGGATAAGAAAAGGCTCAAGAATGAGTCTGTCCTTGACGACAGAGAGGACATACATTGTAAGGATGGCGTGGATGAACACATGGAAGACCTAGCTGAGCATTCTCAGTGCAACAATTGCCACGACGGGTGGCATTGAGCATGCCCGCCATACACCCCCGACAAATGGCATGTCGATTGCAGGCCAAAATGAAAGAAGAACGGTCACCACAAAAGAGCATGCATTCAGTATAGCGCCCATGGCCGCAAAATGGACATATAGTGTCCGGATGCGGAGGGTGCCTGCAGTCAGGAACGGTGGTACGACTCACACTGTGAATCAGAGCGCGAAGGCGAAAAAAAGCAAAACAGGGAAAGGAAAAGAAGTAAGGAAGGAAAGCCCCACCTGTTCATCACCTCTTACAACGTACAAGGCCAGCCACGTAGATGACAGGTTGAGCACTGGCTGCCCCCATCCCGTGTGTCACAAGGACCCACTTGCACGGAGCCAAAAGGCAAAGAGGTAAACAAAAGGAGGAGGAAACCAGACCTCACAGAGGCAAGAGAAAGAGAAAGGGATCCGATCAAAGAGAAGACAAGGGAAGAAAGCAAATGACACATCCGACAGAACAAGAAAAAAGAAAGAGAGAAAAATAAAAGAATATGCTGAACCTTGTAGTGACAGTGGCAATTCCCACAGATAAACCAATCGCCACTGTCACTAGAAGGTTCAACATATTCTTTTATTTTTCTCTCTTTCTTTTTTCTTGTTTTCTTTTTCTTTTTTCAGAAATTTGTACTTTTTTCTTTCTTTCTTTCCTTCTTTTTGTTTCAAATTTTTCTTTCTTCTTTCTTCAACTCCACATCTGTTGCTCCTGATCGCTTGTTTCTATTGATCAGTATTTTTTTTATTTTTCTCTTGGTGACAAGTTTGGTTTACAAGGTGTGAGAGTTTTGTTATGAAGGCCATGAAAAGGCCCTGAAAATTCAAAATTTAGGGTTCTGTTAACCGCTTCAAAATATGTCACTTGGGGTATCCTCCCCCTTGTCCTTCTTTTAGCTTAATAATTTGGCTTCAATTGCGGTAAGATACGTCCAGAAAAGTACTGATGGCAAAATGTAGGTGGCGGTGAATGGTGTTACCTGGCACTGTAAAAGTAACTCAACCGCGCTCACAGTATACGCTGCAATCACCGACTGCCGCGAGACTTCGGCTGCTTTAGAACCCCTTAGAACCTTCAGGCAGTTTCCAAGCACACATACGACCATCGCACTGAAGTGATGAATTTCAGAAATGCCCTTCCCATTAGCAAACTGTAGACGCACGCCCCATTTTCCTTCGCGGTTGAGAAGTTCGTGATCCGAAAGAACTTTCTGGATATGCTCAAGATGAAGGTACCAGTTCTTCCTCAGGCTTATCAGCGCCTCGACTAGAAATGAAGCCACCGCTGCCAATGATTTCAACGAATACCCGCGTCGTGTCGACCTTGCTGGCAAGTCCTTACCTCCATCCTCGATAACTTGGTGTCGGCATTGCAGCATTCCCAACCAAATGGCAATTTCCCAGCCGCAAGTATCAAATGCACCCGTACTGCTCATTGCCTTCCAGGCCAAGTGAAAAGCCTGCTTTCGGATATATTCTGTCTGTCCACAGGTCACGAGCGTGAAGATCGACAACAATTGCGGCCTTGCCAATTGTGGGAATGTTTGACTACTACTTCCTAGTGAGACAAACTCAACCTCATTTCTCGCTTCATCGTTATCGTCAGTACAGTATGCCGAATAAAAGCCACGACCAAATCCGCCATCTGCTCCATCAATGATTCTGGGTTGAAGAAATTTCCCCGGATGAAGAATGTCCGCTACAAACTGCAACGACAGCCCGCTAGAACTCCGCAATGATGCAACCAAGAGCGAGAGAAGACTTCGTTGATGCACCTCTGCAAGATGTGTAGGGTCCTCTGGGAGCAGTCGAAATGGATCAAAATGAAAGCTTGAAAGTGACTCAGGCAAAATTTGCTGCACAAGCCAAAAAGTGAAATGACACATCCTCGCATATACATAGGGAAAAGGAACAGGCGAGTACACAGTCACAAGACAGAAGGAGATGGTCAAGGGCAGAGAGAGAGAAGGGGGTGGAGAGGGAGAGGACCGATGCAGAACGGGGGAGAGAGAGAGAGAGAGAGAGAGAGAGAGAGAGAGAGAGAGAGAGAGAGAGAGAGAGAGAGAGAGAGAGAGAGAGAGAGAG